TAGCCCAGAGAGGTGGTGGCTGCCCCATCCCTGGAAACATTCCAGGTCAGGTTGGACGGGGCTCTGAGCAACCTGATCTAGTTGAAGATGTCCCTGCCCACGGCAGGGAGGTTGGACTAGATGACCTTAAAGGTCCCTTCCAACCCAAGCTATTCTATGATTCTAAGTATGTTCCCAAAGGTCTGTTGCGGAACCAAGTGACCATGAACTTGACATTGTGAAATCACAGCATGGATGAACAATCAAGACATGTTTCAGAAAATTCAGCTCCATTTTCAGCCTCATCTAAAAGGCAACATGTGCATTGTCACTGATTTTCACCCACGAAGACAAGTAAGTTTCTACCATGTTTAATGCAAAAATAGACTAAGACTATGAAATATTTTTTTCTGTATCAAAATGAGAATAAGTATATAAGAATCATCCCTCAATGCAGAATTGAGTCAGAGGACTGGTAATAAGAACTGCTCAGTATTGGGCATCACTTCGTGTAATCTGGCCAAAATTTAAAGCAGAGTTTAAAAGTTGCTACCATCTATTAGACATTGAATGGAATATACGTAAGGAATGTGCTGTTTTTAACAGAATAAAACCCCCCTAAACTCTGAGGCCTGATTTCCTATCAATTTAACTTGATTAGATTCTGTAGCATGTGCCTTGTGAGAAGGAGGAACTTTTCACTGGAACATTCTGCCATTTAAGTACAAACAGCAGAGCCATTGGAGACAGCAAAGTTACAGGAGATCAACAGAAGCAGGCAGCTAATACTACACATGAAAAATTAACTGCACGCTCCCAAGCAATTCTGTTGAGTATTGTTATGGTGTGCTCATACATATAAGGGTTGTGTAGTGTCTGCCTGATGTTATATTTGCTTCACATTCTTCTGCTAAGTCATTAAATTAGCTATCTTCAAGCTGTTTTACATTCAGAGTAAAACAGTTTCAAAAAGTTGTTGTAGAACTGTAACTGTGGGGCATACTCTGGCCAGAACTGCTCCTTTGGCACACCAGTCATGATTTAGTCTCATTAAGGTCCTCCGGAAGTAGAGCATACATGTAAGGACCCATATAAAATTTGAGTATTTCTTCATATCTGTCTTATTAGAGAAACCAGTAGTAATCTTTATCAGGAATGAGCATTTTGGACAAGAAAATAAAGAACTCAACAAGCTGTTCAGAAAGCACAAGTACATAATATAACTGTAAGTTGAATTTGCTTATCCCAAATATTCTTCATTTATGGTATATAAATGTTATATATTTTTCTCACTACTTTCTTCCCATTCAACCACAATATAAACTACCAAACCCATCCTCACACATCTCTGCAAGCAAACTAAGTACTTTGTTTTGGGATTCATACACAGCAGTAGGCTGGGTCCATTTCCAGGTGAACAGTGTAAGACCTCATCAACAACTGCCTGATTAATGATGCACCAAAGAAACCAAGAAACAAAACAATTCTTCTTTTCATAAGTGCATAATTTCTTTTACTATAAGCCAGTAAAACTACCAAATCTAGAGGGAAAAATGATACAAACTGACATTACAAAATGAACATTTTTTCACCATTTCACAGTATTTTTCTGGTTTTGTTTGGTCCTGTAATTGTAATTGCCTGTGTTCCTATCTTACCTCATCTTGGGACTTGACCAGTGTTTCAAATGTTTTTTCTCCACTTTCTCCATCTATCATTTTTTTCCGAATCTATTGGCAAGAAAGAAAAAAAAAAAAAAAAAAAAAGAACTAGGTGCTGCATGTAACATGAATAATCTTTTCAGTGATTCAAAGTATTTCACACAAGCACAGAAAATGGTAATGCGTATGAAAGTCATAGCTCTTAAAAAAAAAGTTAAGTTTACAATTTTCAGATTTTTCTAATTAGAAGTTGCTTTATCCAAATATATACTCAATCAGTAGAGTTATGAAGCAACAATTCTGGTATACTTTGCATAGCAAGACCATCCCATAAAACCCCTTGATGTTGGGCACTAGAGAGAGTATGAATTCTGTGTGGATGAGAATGAGTTTTCTCTAGCATTTCTCGTGCTTCCCAGCACGTCTGTGTGATTCTGGTAGCAGCAGTGATTCACAAAAACATTTTTATACTAGTCCGAGAGTGATTCCTCTCTGAAGCAGGAGTTTCAAAGAAACTTGAGGCAGAATTTAACAGATACCAATAGTGTCATTATAAAAGAACAATTTCAAATGAAGTGAAAAAATGTTAAAAAAATGTAAATTGTTTAAAAATCCTCCATTTTATTTCACAAAACTAACAAACTTTTTTTAAAAATTCTGATTTCTGAATGTATTACAAAATTAGTAACTGAAAAATATACAGAGGATTTAATTTGTTGTCAACATAACTTTATTTCTCAGTTCTCTCTCTCACCACAGCAATAAGCTTGCGTTAGTAAGAGGTAGGAAAATACTTTTAAAATATTTCAGGTAATATATTAATATACTATTAAAAAGTGTTCTGTTCTGAAAAATTTATAAGCCCCCACCCCAGCAATTGCCACTTAATGAAGAAGAATTATTTAAATAGCAATCATGGTGTCTTTCAAAATGAGAAGAATATAATGCATTGCCCTTGCCTACGAATAGTACCGGTTCTCAATTTGTTTCATTATAACTTCATCTGTCTATAAAGTCATCATCTTGACAAATTTAAAATTGAAATTTATAGTGAAATAGATTCCCATTCAAAATGTAGAAGTTTTTTTGCTTTTCAGTTGTTATACAGTGAAATGCAAGCAGCAACAGGTACTGAGAAACCAGGTAATCTCACCTCAACTTTAATATCATTTTCCAATTCAGCATCTAGAAAATCCAGCGTAACAGGCTCCTGGGATTTAGGATTCTGAAGCAGAAGATATTGAACGATCAAATAATAAAGACAGAGTATTGTAATGTTACAAATCATTCTAATCCCTTCATTTCTAAGTAAGCTACTTAACTGGGCTTACTTACCCATCTATTTTAATCTCTTACATGATGAATTACTAGTGGCCCTTTCTCACTTATTTTATTTCATTGGATAGAGAGGTTAATTGGAGAAGTGAAAATCAAATTAACACTAACGGCTAGTGTCCATCCACAGTCTGTCATGTATGGGGCTCATGCTGGGAAGATGCTTCCCCTACTGCTGGTATGTCACAGACTGTAAGGGTGGGAGAAGACGCATCAGAGGAAGCATCAGATATGAATCTCTCATTAGGTTTCCTGCCTCCAAGAACGGAGAGGGAAGTTTGGGAAAGTTTTCCAGCTGACTGGTAAGATGGGATAATTTTACTCTTTTGCAATTTTGCCAAAAGCAGACTACAAACTTGCTGTTATGAGGTGGGAATGGACTGTGGCTCAAGATTCAAAGAGGCAGCAATTAGAATAAAGGATTTCTTTAGTATAAGAAAATAAAAATCACTTTTTTTGTCAGCATTACAGGACTTCCCTGAGCACCTTGCAGTTTTGAATGCATTTCTCTTGACATCAGTGCTGTTATCTCAATTTAAGAGATGGAAACCTGTAGCACAGAAATACTGCGACCCAGCAGCTTCAAGACCTAAGGAATGTACGTGATGTCGACCCTCAACTATGGAGCACAGAGAAGTTTGGTGGCATGCATCTGCAGTAACCCTGGTCCCATAGGAGTGTGGGAAGACCATTGTAGCTCTGCTGAACTAGCTCAGACCACCCTCCAGTCTCTACTCTCTTCTCAGTTGCAGTCTGCATTTACTTGGACAGAGCCATCTTCCGTATGAGTTGTTAGGAATCCGACTCTTTTTTTTTTTTTTTTGAGTAATTTTGCCTAAGCCCCACTGACTTTATATTACGTGTGGTGTAAAAATCCTCAGTCCTCATCACTCAATAGTTATTTAATGCACCCACCTAATGAAGGATCTTTAGAAGAGTATGGGGATATATTATTTACCTATCTAAATCTGATAGTTTAGAACAGAAGATGAAAAAGGTCCAGTTTTAGTAATTTATTTTGATTGATAATAATTTGCTTTGTGTAATAGGACAGTTCATACATGAAAGGATCTCAAGGCGCAGTTTTCTCAGTAACTGAGGACTGTTTCTGATATGATTAGCAACACAAAAATTGTCATTAGCTGATACTATTATTTCAAGACTAGTGTAAATTCTGATGACATTTTTAGAGGATTTCAGTGATTCCGCTATACTAACTTATTTACAGGGTAGACTAAAGTCCTTTCTTTCTAAATGATGATTATATTCCTTCTATCCTAACATTCTCTGGCAAAGGTACATGACAAATGTACATGTGGCTATTCTATCAAAGAATGCAAGCATGTTTCATCATAATTTATGTATGTATTTCCAGTTCGTAGTGGAAGAAAGTAATGTCCTGAATAACTGGTAAAAGAAGCCTTCATATAACAGTCTGGAGCATTAAGAGCTTAGCAGTAGTCCTTATTTTCAAGACTGTAATATAGAATAGTGTTAGAAGACAAAAGATTATGCCTTCATATTCTTGAGGAACAAATGTACATGTTTCCGGGTATATGGAATCATGCTTTTCCTTAGCAAGTAAGACTTACTGTCTGCTAAGAGAAAAGCCAATAAATTTATTCTCAGACAGAGAATATGCACTGGAAAGATTTCAGACAAAGATTCCGGATATTTCTTTTAAATGTCTACTGATAACTTCAAAGACATTTTTATGTTCCTATTTATATAGGATAGATAAAATTAGTAACTTTAATATAATAGCATTAACATATGCTCTCTACTAATTCAAAACAGTTTAATTATTGTTATGCAGTTGCTTTTTTCCCCCCAACTAATCCACACTCTCGAAATAAATAGCAAAAGGCTAAAATGTAAAAATAAATTAAAAAAAAAAAACATTTTCTTACATGCAATGGATAATGAATAGCATGGTCAAACCCAAACAGCATGCATGAAGGCATTGGCATGGCAGAGGAGGGATTTGTGAAGTTCACATTCCATTCCAAAACACAAAGGAACAGAGAAGAAAAGAAATGGTAAAAAAAAGAAAAACAAAAGCCATCACATCAAATCAAGGTCAATATTCATTTCAAATGATAACCTGGGCTGGCCATAGTTAAGGAGTCCCAAAGACAAAATAGTCAACTTCAACAGTCCGTCAAAACTCAAGTATACATTAACTGTTTGCTCTTGTTCTTTTTAAGACTTACGTTATATCACCACACATTCTTTATAAGGTACTTATTAATGCCTTTTAATACATGAAGAAACTAAGCATGTATAGATACATTATGTGATGTGCCTGAGGCACAAAGAAATCCATTAGAAATTAGAACAGAAAATTCCTAGCCCCGTACTTTAAATGGAAGACTATTTTTCCCGCTATGTCTTTTTCCCCCAAGAATGTGTTTTTACCAATATTTGGGCTCCATAATTTTTTCTTCCAAGGTTGCCATTTAGTGGGGTTTATTCCAAGCCATGAAGAAACAAACTTACTGTTCAGTTTGCTCTTCTCTTTATCCAGTCATGCACACAACATGACTAGAATAAGCACACCACCACCACATTCACCAGCACAACTTAATGAAACAAAACAGAAGTAAATCACTAGCAATGAAGCATGCAAATAAAGGGAGTGCAATCCATTTTCAGCATGACAAATAAAGGCAAAGATCTATTACTTCAATGACAAATCAAGAAGGAAACAAAGAAAGAAAGAACTGGTGCAGCAACATAAAAAAAAGTTCATTAAAATGTCGTTGTCGTGTGTTTTGGGAGGTCAGTATTCTCACAAATTCTATGGAAGGCCTTCTTTGCTGAGTTGCAGGAGCCTAGTTCCTACTCATACTTTCAGTACTAATGAAGACATAGGCTGTTAGGCTTTTAAAATAAAAGATGGCAAGAAGGCAGCAAAATCCTGGGCCGCAGAGGGAGGCCCAGGGGCACCTGGAGTGGATGGGAGCCCAGCACTTTTACAGAGCTGCACCTCCCTGGGCAGCCAGCAGAGCCAGGCAAACCCAGCAACAGCCAAAGCATATCACAGCACGCTGAGGAGCCGGGGTTGCTCAGAAAACTGAGACTTTTTTATGTTCCACTGCTGCTTTCTCCAGTGCACAAACAAAAAATCTAGCCCAGAGGTGGTAGAAACCATGTTGTTTGTACATGGTTTGTACCATGTGTGGTACAAACACAGCCACTCAAGACTCGGTGAAATCACTGACTTGAATTAGATCAGAATTTTACACCATGTTTTACTGGCGTTGTTATGCAAGCAACTGGTTTTGCATTATATATTCCCATATGTGTAAGAAATTAACATGGTATAGTGTACCTAATTTTGTTATTTTGCTACTTACATAGTTAATCTATTCCTCTAATGATTTTTAAGTTTTCATTAAGTTTTTTCTGCTCAGGGATTGTGTTACATAAATGTTATTAATTTCCTTTTCCCTGGTCGGGTTAATGGAAGTTAACCCTCTGGAGTTGGGTTTGCTAAATCAAGAAACATGATGTAAATAGCAGATAAAACATATGCCCGACTGACTTCCCCAGAAAAAAACTAAACAGTTCATTCAAATTCTGTAATGTTATACAGCATTACAGCATACACTGTACAATAAAACTTGGCAATAAAGTTGTAAGAATGATCTTCTCTTGACTTTGGGTTTCTGCAAGCAAAGCCAGCACAAGTAGTCTCTTTTTTTTTCCAGTCTTCACATTCATTTCAAAATCTGAAGAATAATTTTTACAGCACGGCTCTAATTAGCACCTATTAGTAAAGCGCCATAATTTAATGGAATGTCCTTCACTACAGCCAATAACATGTTTTCTATTATATAAACAAGGAAGGATGCAAGCTTCATGCTTTGGAAGCTGTTCGTCCAAGTAAACAGTTCTCTAGTTAGATTTTTCATAGTAAGCAGGGCAGAAGCTTTCTAATTGTATTTCCAGGTCTATGCATTCTAATGCACTAATCACCTCCATCCAAAGTTACCTGTACATTGGGTCTCCTTTTTCTCAATTTAACTTTTGGTATGCCCACACCAATTTGCTGAAGTAACAAAAAAGCAGTAATTTATATTTTTACACTATTAGTAAACAGCCTACTTATAGAATGGAAGTCTTCCCTCAACATCTATATTCTCTAGTGCACGTTTACTGGAAGCAGAGACTAGCCCTCATTCCAATCAAGAGTTCTGAGCTCTGTCAGAATCACACACATTTAACTTTTGGTATGCCCACACCAATTTGCTGAAGTAACAAAAAAGCAGTAATTTATATTTTTACACTATTAGTAAACAGCCTACTTATAGAATGGAAGTCTTCCCTCAACATCTATATTCTTTTGTTCTCTTTTGCTGGTTTCCTGGACTCGGCGTCTTTCCAATCAAGAGTTCTGAGCTCTGTCAGAATCACACACTGATTTTGTCTAGAGAAACAAAAACCAGATAGATGTTAAATGATGTGAAATAAGTTAACAAGAGAGCTCTCCCTCCCACATACTCTTCCAGAATGAGAAGAATTTCACTTTTTGTTTACTGTTATATCTGCTCTTAAAACCACCTCCTCTTACATTTCTTTCAAAACCATAAACCATAAGATAAAATACTGGACCCTACTGAAGGCATCTAGAACTTTATAATTACCATTAAATGGATTTTGATCAGAACCATAATGAAAGTGGAGAAAAGGATGCTAATTTTTAGAATAGATTCAAAAATTGAATTATTTATTCTTTACAAATCTTATCTAATTAAGACTGATCTTGTTAACATATGCTTAATGCACTCATTTCAGTGACTATATTTATTTGGTGGGATATCCACCTGTTCTCTCCCAGGACAATGGGAAAAATACATGCACATATGCACAGACACATAAAGAAAATTGGCAGAAAAACATAAAATTAAGTATTTGTTTAAAAATGTAATATAACTAACTACACAAACTTGAAAAATGGTATTTTAAGCAGTTTAAAACTATATTAAACAGAAAGTTAAAAAAAAGATTTCCTATGTTATGCTTTGATGTCATTTTCATGTGCAAATAAGAACACGATGGGAAAGTTCTCAATGATTTTAATATACTTTTGAACCTGCCTTTTGTTAAATTTTCTCAGTTGTGCAAACGACTTTACAAGTTCTAAATTTCTAGGGGCTTCTTTTTGTGAGATGATACTGCAAGACAATTTCTCAAAATATTAATTGTGTTGAACCAGTTGTGATTTGAGGCAACAGATTTTCAGAAGGAAAGCAGAAGACATTCAGAAGAAGGGACCGCTGGAAGTTTAATACATCCTCACCTCTTCAAAGGTAAAGACGTAGTTATGTTTTAGTTTACATCTATTGAAAAATTGCTGGCAAAGAGGGTTAAGATGTTGTTTGTTAATAAGTTAACGGCTACCAGGAGGTTCAACTAAAATTAATGACATGTTAGAGAAAGTCCATGAGTTCTAAATACATCTGTCTTTGTAGTGTACCTTAGTTTTAAAACGTAGTTCTTGTATCAGTCTGAATAGCATGCACCACCCCAAACAAACTGGGAGTGAAAAAGTCTAGTCTGTGTAACTGTTAATAACAACAATAACAATAATAATAATAGTTCATATGCTTAATATTACATTTAGACATTATTCTACAACATAAAACATGTAACATAAAATACCCTTTTTTAAACATAAATGAAACATTTGAGCAGTATGTGAAAGCATCTTTCATGAGAATACTGCATTGCTTCATTTTATGTTCCTTCTGTTAACAAAAAGATATGATTGCATATAAGGAATAGGTGAATAGACCACTCGCCATCATCTGCATTTCTAGTAATCTCTAATGAAGAAAAGATTTGGTCAGTAATGATGTATATATTTGTCTCAGAATAATTCACCAAGCAAAATCAACAAATCAAAACTTTGATTTTTTAACACATGAAAAATTAATGCATATATCCAGAAACTGAAGTCCTTCTAAATTATGAAGAGTACATAAAACCTTCTTTTCCTTTTTTTTTTTCTTTTATTTTTAAAAGGGTCCTTTCAAAATAAATCAAAAGGGATATTTCATCAATAGTTAAGATCGAGTTATTCTTTCTCTTGTTCAGAAGCATTTTTTTTCTTTCTTCTTTTGTTACACACTTGGCAAAAGATTTCAAACCTATTCATTACTTCACCAGGAAATTAATTCAAATAGTCACAATGCTGTCTTCCCCCAGCTTCAGAATTAAATGAATCACTAAAATATGTAGATGAATTCTTAATTTCTTTTTCTGTCTTTGACAGTTAAAGACAGTGAAGTAGTGAAAAGGGGGTCTGTTATCCCTCTTGTGCCTATGATGGGACTTTCTGGTGAAGAAACAAGAGAGGACAGTTGCACAGCCAAGAGGTCAAGGACTTCCTGCTATTCTGCCACAGGAACATGGCTGGGAGGAATAAAGTGATGGATAAGCATCCAATTTACAAAAAAACAGTATTGCCATGCCTAAAGGCAGCAAATACAGGCTTGCATTACTTAAGAAGTTTCTCTAAAGTGTACTAAGTGCTAAAAATTAACTTAGGAGTAGGGTGCCACTAAAGTTTAAAAGCCTCACTAGCCTTATTTGCTTGTGTATTGACAGCTTGCATTTATCTTGGCCGTATATTGCTCAAACCACCTTAATGAGAAATTTTAATATTGACAACTGAACTACACGGATATATTGTTTGGTCTTCAATATGTATAGTGATTCATTATTATTTCTAACTTTTTATCTGTAAATACTCCATACATTTCTCTCAATCTGGAGTGATTTTTTAATTATTTTTAGTTAATAAAATGTTAACTTTGTCTTTTATATAATGCTGCATTTGTGCACTATGAACTCATGAGACAAAATTCGCTGAAAGTATGTTTCTAATGTAATTAAAATACAAACATTTTCAAATATTCCACTAAATAGAAGATTGTTTGACATGGAGAAACCCTTCACTAAAACAAAGATTAAAATTCTGATTTCAGAAAAAAAATCATCCATTCATGTTGTAGTATCTCATCAAGGCCAGGGAGGCAACTTACTTAAGAAGATACATGTAATGTAGGAGTCCCCACAGGGTCAGGACTACAGTTAATGGATATAAAGCCAGACTGAAATATTGGGTTTAAATTTTCCTGAAATTTGAGGAAAGTTGTGTCTGAATCAGATTTAGATAAAGATTTCATCTTTAAAAATGAAAGACCTTTCTCAAGTTGAACTACTAAAAAAGCTAGCATTCTGGGAAAGAGTGCTCAGCTAGATCCATCCCAACTCTGCAGCTTAGGTTTCAGCTCTGGTAAACAGAAAATAAGCAAAATAAACAAATACAAAAATACAAGAAAAATACATTGTGTTTGCCCCCGATTTCTGTGGTTTTGCAAGTATGGAAGTTTCAATTTCTGAAATGAGAAAGCATCACAAAATAAACATGTGCACTAGTAAACTCCTCAGAGTTTGCTTTGAGAGCATCTTGTAACACACTACAAGTTCTTCACAATGATATTACAGCTACCACTAGTGGTTTTCATATTAATAGGTATACTAAAACACTTATTTCACATACAAAAATGTGTGTGTAAAATATACACCTTTTTTATTTTATTGATAACTAAATTCAATACAAGGCAATACTGGTCTTTGTCCTGACTAAAGCAGATTTGGATGAAGCCATACATGCACCACGGATTTTCCTGACACCCCCACAACTGAGAAATCTCTACTATTGCTCTCTGGCACTTTCAGCAGATCTTAGACGTTTCTGTTATTTCTGACAATGTCCCCTTATTACAGAGAAATAAATTAGAAGGTTTTTCATACCTTTGGTTGGAGATTTGGATGAAGTAGCACATACCCATTAGGATCAATTGCAAAATAGTATCCGTTTGGACAAAGCTGAAAGAAAGAAATGAAGTTTAGCCTTATAAGGTTTTAAGTAATAAAGAAAGATTAATTAATGGTTTTCAAGCAATGGTCACATTAAGGAAAACACATTGCCTCAGGCATGATGAAATATGTGAGATATTAACATACAGAAGATAATTTCTTAATATTTACTCTCTTAGAATCACAAACTTGGAGAATAATTTAGGCTGATGGGGCCACTGGAGGTCACCTGGCACAACCCTTCACTGAAAGCAGAGCTAACTTCAAAATAAGTCCAACTTCAAAGTTGGACTAAGTTTCAAAGGGTCTTTGAATACCTCCAATGGCAATTCCACAAGCTCTCTGGGCAACCTGCTCCAGTGTTTAACCACCCTCACAATGATTTTTTTTTCCTTACTTCCAGCTGGAATTTCCATTGCCACAACAATGACGATTGCCTCTTGTCTTTTGCTATAAACCTTCAAGAAATGTCAAGGTTCATCTCTGTAACTCCCATTAGGTAACCCATTAGGTTTCTTCTTCAGTCTGAACAAACCCAACTCTTTCACCTTCTCCTCGTATGCCATGTACTCCAGCCCCTTGACCAACTTAGTGGCTTTGCACTGGACTCTGTCCAATATCCCAGTGTATTTCTTGTACCGAGAAGATCAAACTTGGACACAGTACTCCTGGTGCGGGTGTTCACTGCACAGCTCGCCTTCTTTACTGCAAGGGCACATTGCTAACTTATGTTCAGCTTGTCCTCCACCATGACCCCCAGGCCCTTTCCTGCCTTTTGAGGCATTCTGTCCCAGCCTGTACTGTGGCATGAGATTATTTCATTCTAGATGCAGGACTTCTTTGCATTTGCCTTCGGTCAAATTGATGATGTTCCTTTGCTTCCTCAGCTGTTGTTTTCCACAGTACTAGTTATTTTCTTACAAATTCCCCAGTTAGATGTCTAAATATATAAATCAATCATACTGAGTAGGGTACAGACAGACATGTATATTAAAGAACTTTTCTATAAAGAACTGTCCTATATAAATGCTAAGTATTATTATTAGCTGCGTTGATTGTGTGCTCTACTCTGTGATAAGAACCAAACACTCAACTAAAGAGCAGTGCCTTAAGCTACAGGAAAATAATTACTTGGAATATATCCCCCAATGTAAAAGTTGGCTTCTACAGATGCATCTTGATGGACAATTCACACAGAAGCACATATATGGCTGGAGAAAAAACAGTCAGAAAATCTACAACAATAGAAAAGAATATATGAAAAGAAGCCTGCTGGTATTTTGACTCGCATCCAGTCATTGCTGTATGACTTATGAAAGAGCATGCAAAGAAATAATACATAAATCATACATAAAGAGATACCACCAACGCAAGCAACTTACCGTAAATCGGGGTGTCAGGTTTTTTATGTCCTCCAAAGAGACATCAACCCCCATTACTCCAAGAATCAGCTGATTCTGGCAAGATTCCAAAATGTTAGAATATGTTTGGCATATTTACAATGCAAAATAACTGCAACAGTCAGTGAATTTTGATTTTGCCTTCTTCTTGTTTGACAAATACTACTTGAAAAGTTGCCTATTTACTTATGTATCTATTCTAAACATTTTAAATAATATCCAAGTGATTTAAAATAACATTTGATACAATCAGAATTTAGTATAGAACATGGAAACTGTTTATGAAGATGAATATGGATGGTTTCCTGGATGAATAAACGATAAATGTAAGAACAAAACAGGTGAAAGCAAAAGTGATGCATTAATATTGCCAATGACGTAGATACTAAATTACTAGCACCAATATAGAGCTACTATTGCACACTTAGGTTGGGCAATTGATAAGTGAGACCCCAAAACAACCGACGTCTTGGCTATGGTATAATGATGAATTAAAAAAAAAAAAAACAAAACAACAACCCCCCAAAAAACAGTGACTATATCAATCATCAGCATTTGAAATCAGGCACCACATTTACTTCACTTGTAATTTATTTTCCTACTACAGAAAAGGGTGGCAGTCATTTACATAGTATCACCTGAATCCCTTCTCCCTATTAAATAAATTTGGAGTATGTATTGGAAGATGCATCTTGCAGTGTTTAACCTAAAATTCATGTAGAGACCTAAGTCGAGCAGATTCAAGCTTTCCTCTTGTTCCATAGATCCTCTATATACTAGACCATGGCTGTTTTATTTCTCGAAAGACATACTTTGATAATCAGTAGTCTCTCACTTTACAACTGGACTCAGTGAATTCCAGGCATTATCTTGTAGATAAGATTATAAAATCTTTTGGTTTGTTTTGTTTTGTTTTTAAAGGGAAACTAAGAGAACTATTCTGAAAGTAAATAAAAGATAGTGATCAAATTCATATTTATTCATTCTAAGTCTATTTAATATCTGAGAAACTGAATCAAAGAATATCTTGGCTAAACTTCTGTATATTTTGACCTGAATGAACATGAGTATCACACCAAATGTACAGTATTTTACCACACCTTGTAAAGCATATTATAGGTCTGATTTTAAAAAAGCAGCATTTTGATTTTGCAAAAAGGACATAAATTGATTCCTTATCAGACTGTAATAGGGATGGGGAATTGTATTTATTTAATACTTAGATTTTAATCTAAGTACACAGTGGGATTTGATGAATAATAGCAGTGTATTTGCCTTATCTACTGTCTTCATGACTTTGAGAATATTTCATAGAGTCATAGAATCATAGAATAGTTTGGGTTGGAAGGGACCTCTAAAGGTCATCTAGTCCAACCCCCAAAGCGCTATTTTCTATTATCATTACAAACAATTAAATTAAAGTCTGTACATCATTGCCTTTTACCCTGAAATGTCATAGCTTCACAGACTTGTTATAAATATATCTGAGCTTCCTTTCTTGGCGAGGCCTGAATAATATCATCATATACTTCCCATCTGTTGAGCACTTAAAGCATTCCCATTGCCACCAGATCACAGAGATAGATCAAGGAATGTCATACCCTGAAACTCAGAACTACAAAAAGGGTGATCTGCATTTTCTTGTTCCCAGGAGGTTATCAGGCAACTAGAGATGACCCTTTTTTTTCTGTTGTACAAGACAATTAAACTGTAGAAAGCTCTATGGAAATACACATTTTTCAAGGAGTTTAGCATTAAATTTAATTCAAATAACTGATATTTTTCTTTTCTTTTTTGTTTTAAGTAAGAGCTTACTATTTTCCCATTTTGTTCCTTTGTTAGATTGAAGACAGGTAGAGTTCCTGTAATCACAAGGCCCAGCTCCTAGGAAACAATCACATACAGAGGGGAGAAAAAGACTTTTTAGTTAAATAACAAATATTGAACTATAACATATTAGAACAATCCAAGGATTACTGTAGCCAAACACTAGATTAGAGTACTGACTTTTATTTTATAGAAATTTTCCACAGGCAGATTTCTACCTTTTTTTGTCCTAATGTTTGTATTTAATTTCAAATTTTCCCCCCTCACTGATGCTTACTCCTTCCATGTATTTTAGTGAGGAACCATATCACTTCTCTGCCTTTGTTTCATTAGGAAAAAATAAGCTGAAGTACTTTATTAATCCACTCTGATGAAATCAGTTCTCCATTTGCCCAGTCTAGTAGCACCTTTTTGAATTTTAAACCATCATTCATGAACTTAAGTTTGAGTATAAAATGAAAAGTGATGAGATCAGAGTTAGTAATGTTACAACAAGCAAGGTGAAGAGAAGGACAAGTGGACTTTTTAGGGGAATAAGAGAAACAAGAAATGGAGATGAATCAGAAGAAAAGAGAGAGGAGGATATTTTTTAGAAGTAGCATTGAAGAGATACATAATGAAACAGGAGGAGTATGTATGGGCGATAACACCCTCTCCCCCAAAAAAACCGTACAGTTAGAGACGACAATAATTGTGAATAAATTATGACTAACTGGTAAGCCTAAAAGTATCTGAAAATTCTGGGATTATCTTGCAGAAAGTGAGGCCAGAGCAACACTGTAACAGAACCTGAAGGAACAGGGCAAGAAAAGAGGTGTGAATTGCCACAAATATATCAAATTATTAAAGACAGTCTTGAAAGACAGCATCAAATTAAAGTACCTCTTTAGGATTTCATAACCTGAACTTAAGCTCTATTCAAATGTGGCCTCATGTAATACACTTTGCATTATTTTAGCCTTAGCCCCAAAACAGCTGCTGGACACTAAGAAAAAAAAGATAGGACAAAGTCCAGTGAGGCACAAGCAGGAGAAGGGCAAGCCCTACCGGAAGGAATTGCTTTCGGGAATTTAAGATAAAGAACCAGTGTGACAAGCTAGTCCCTATCCCTGCTAAAACCAAGAATCAGGAAAAGGCTCCAGAGTGGATTAGATACACCTGTGCCTTTATGCTCTCATCTGTGATGAGAAAGTCTACAAATTCCAGCCTTTACCTCAACAGTTTAGCTTGGGTTGGTCTTCACTTAATAAATATATTAGTAAAAAGAACATGCCCTGCTTTTTATAAATATATATGTATGCACACACACAAATATATATGTTTATACGCACACATCATTATTTATACCCAAACACACATGCAAAACACATGAATGCAGAAAAGTTTGAAGGAAAGATGAACCCACTGAAAATATAAAGCAACACAACAGAAGTCTGCAGGTATCACTCGTTTTACTTCATTAAACAGATCTCTTTCTATCCCCAGTTACAAATTTAGCTTCGGCTTTACAACAGGATATGTACAGAACATACGAACTTTCGTCCTAACATCCTTTATGTTTCCAGTAAGTACCTCAACAGTAACCAAGAAAACATGGTTAATGAACTTCTGGCCATTGAAGTTCCAAAGAAAAACTGGTTCCTTTGTGTCACGCCCAGTTCTATGATGAGTTGATAAAAATTTTACAGTAATGCTGACTGATGGGAAAAAGTGGATTTTGACATGACATTAGATGACCATGAGAACTTGGACAAATACATGATTCCAGATGACCATTTTGCAGTAATTTTTGCCTAGTTAGAGTTACTCAGAAGAAGGTTATCTAGAGCAACAGATTGGATTGCTGCTAATAATACTTTGCATTTCGTAGTTTCCTGAATATGTTTGTTTTACAAGACCGAAGTGATAAATTCAGCAGTAAGGAAAGCATTTCATATATCTTTTTGTTTATTTCCCCATTATATACACTGTCCAATTAAAGAAATCATTACCTTGAGCAAGCAAGTAATTACAACAACCATGATAGTTTAGAGACCCAAGTTCAAAGTCTGTGCAAATACCCAATAACATTGACGGGTTTCATTCTGCCTGGAATGCTTTAAAAAAAATAACTCCACACCAGTAACGTAACAGATGACCTCTACTGCAGCACAGGTACAACACTGGAAAACTATTTGCTGCTTTTTTTCTTTTGTTAATTTGAGGACAACAATGACCTACACTTAACGATCAGTGCGTAGGAGAAATTGCTTTTCTCTGTTAAAGGTCAGGACACTTAGGAGGATACTAGGTGCAAGTAAGGACCAACATGTTAGAAATAGCTGTTCAGAAAATTGCTCTATTGACGTGTACAGATGCTGGAAATGCGAGAATATTATGTTTGGAACTGTAGGAAATTGAGTCCTCAGGACTGTGGAAAATGGACCCTACAGTTGCTGATTTGATAAGATTCTTACTTTACTAGAGATAAATACAGATCATACCAGAGCATCCAGATAGACATTTGTCCATTGGACTTGTTTGGCTTTCTCTCCAGCTAAAACCATTGGTCTTCCCAAAACATCCAGATATTCCTGCCAAAAAAGTGTAATAAACTCATCAGAAGGCGGTTATTAAACCAAGTCCAGAAACAGCATAAAAAATAAGCAATAATGAAATGAAAACAAGTAAAAAAAAAAAGTCAAAATTCACTACTAATACAGGAGTAGTATTTAATTATTTCTTTAAAATTATACTACCCAACAATTCAGTCTTCAGTTTGCAGTATTCACTGCCAAGGCAATTCCTGTATTTCAGTCTCAGTCACATGGACCTTACACATCCATAACCACTGCTCTCTTTCCACAAATGAGAATTACAACTATTTCTGTTCCAAAATTAATTACAAGCAGATTGCAGAACCTTCAACCCAGAAGATAGAGTGGGCGATGGAGGGTGAGTGGTGCAGCAGCTGGGCATGTTAAGCTCCTACAGCAAGAACTTGCATAACTTCTATTGAAACAAAAAATTCAGAGTTTTAAAACCTAATAGTCTCTGCGTTCCTTCAGTCGTGGAGCACGGCTAAAGCTGGTGATCTTAAAAGATGTCAGACTTCTGGTCTGGTTTGGGAGTGGATGACATCAAACTTGTTTCAGTCTTCAACCTTTTCTATTTGTCTGATCATATTAGGGATATTTCTTGCCAGACACTATCTGGAAGAGTTTAACAGAATCAAAGGACTCTTATTCAAGCCAAAAAAAGGACTTATTTTCTGCCAAAAAAATGTCATGCCTGGCCTTGGAAGGACAAAGAACTGCCATGATATTTCTCTGCTTTTCTGGACATGTGAATACATGGGCTTTCAAGCAACTGAAAAGTATATCTGTTCATCTGCACTGTCAGTTTGGATCACACCATATAATTCCAGGGTCCTGTGCCCTTAATTATCTACACACATGGCTGCTAAAACTGTCCTGAATCCTTTTTGAAGGAAAAAAGCTGTGTCTCTCCCAGACTGGTTGGATCAATCCAGGAACCTCTGCTATAAGCAGGATTGTACCAGGTCACTGTTTCTGCCCAGCTGAGTTCAGATAATCTACCAGGGCTATGCCCTCACACACGTCCACAGCCTTCTCCGTGTAATACAAACCCTCAGGATTATGCTGTAAGTATGGCAGGAGCCAGACTATGAGTGTCTAGACATGTTATAAAAATGTACTGCTTTTATAGAACTTTATTGAAAAATTGTTGCTGTGTCTCAAGATCAAAGAGGGACCATGTAAGGCCAGGAGGAAAACTGAACCCAAAACATAATCATTGTGCAGAGAAGGTCTGCAGGATGCAGATCACTTCAAACGCTATGTTGTGTGCACATGGTCAGACTGCTTTAGAGGATGCTAGCATGACTAGTATGCATGCAAGCTGCTGTGGGCCAGCTGGCCAGGGAAGCAGGGATCACATTGTAAATTGGCTCACTGAAACTACTAAAAAGAAATAAATAAATTAGGATACTTTAACAGAATAATATCTCATATGTAAAAGAAAGCCTTATTTTTTTTCTCTGTTCTTAATGTAGTGTATCTTAAAATTTAATTGATTCAAACAGAGGTGAAATGCAACATATTTAAGAACAGAAATTGCTCTGCTTGTTTGTGTTACAACTGTATCTGCATTTGGTCAACACACTTACCTGGGTGTTTATTCTTATGGCTCCAATGGATGGAATTTCATAATAATAACCTAAAATTTGGAACAGAAATAATGCCATTTTACTATAACATATTGCTAGTCTCTTAATCTTGAGGAATTTCATTCAGCTTGTAATTTCTAATTTAATTTTTATAGAAATTATCACGTATGAATAGAATACTTTTTTAGTAGATGCTACCACAACACGTGGCCACATGTGATGGGTCACCATGCCATATAGGCCAAGCTAGTTACCCTTAAGCATTGAGAGAGTCTATAATGTGTTTATTTTGTCTGTTGTTTTTAAAGCTGAGATAATGTACTGAATTTGTACTCCTGAATTCCCAGTTACTCTGATATGCAAGTATACGTAATGGTCATTTTAATACATTGTGACAGCAACATAATTATATGCTGAATGCATAAAGGAATGCGAGTATAGCTACAGTCTGCCATGACAGTGAAGTTCATAGCAGAAAAATGTAAGGCGCTCTGTGGAAGGAATGAAAAAATCAAACTGGTATTTCTTCTAACTAAACATCAGAAATGTCTTTATTCATCATTGATTATATCACTTACTTGTTTGCATTAAAAATATTGCCCATATGTAACAATAAGACTGAAAAGACAGGCACTGAGATCCAGTTTCAGACCAAGTAAGTTGTAAGTCAAATTGTAAGGAAGTGGGGAGGACTGGAGAGGTAAGAGTACTGAGTTTAGTCACTTACTTTGCCGTAAGCAATGTGTGACTTGATAATAAATTAAAACTGTTAATTAAGGAAAAATTAAATAAAACTTTGCTTCTTTGGATATGCAAACAAATCATCACATCAATTTTGGACAGAAGATTATGATTATTTTGCCGTGATAATAAGATGACATAGGTGGTTATGCTTTAAACCAGCTGGTCCTCATTTGTTTTAAAACAGCAGAGTTCATATGCACACAGTATTTTGAGATACAAAGATGTTAGTTAAAAAATCCGTGTTCAAAAAAACAAATGTTGATTTTCTGTAATTATCCGACAATACAATCTGCTCTTCATGAAGTTGTACTATCTTCTGCATAACTTGCCAGCACGCTGAGGGATTCACGAGGCTATGATATATATGCTATTCATACAGGCTATGGATTCTTCTATATCACTATTTTTTTCTGTATCTATATCATTCTCTTTCTCTTATTTTTGGTTTATGTTATTCTCATGCCTGAGAATCTTATCTTATCCTCCTTCCCTGGCAGTCTTAATTTTCAAGACCCTTTGTAGTCTATCCCACCTCTTGCTTCTTACCGATTTGTAAAATACTTTCACATTTTTAGTCAGGCCTGGAAATTGCTCTATTTAAAATATTAAACATTATTGTTTGATAATATGTCTATTTTTTATTTATCTGTATTTATGTCTTATCTCTTGTTCCACAATTATACTGTAAGGTATTTGAGACACCTCTTTCCCACACTCTTTTTAAATGTCTCTGACCACAATTTTTCATGCAGAAATTTTAGGAGAAAGCATTTTACTTCCTTACTTTCATCTTTTTTACTTCTTTTTTTCCTACATAAAGAAATCAGGATAAAAATAAAAAATGTAAGATGCTCTTAGAAGCTAAGAAATCACAGCAAGAATAATTTTGTTATTTTCATCAAAAAAGGGAATAATAATGCAAGTCATCTGGTCCCTTGTATGTTTTGGAGAAAAACAGAAAGAAATCCAACCAGCCAACAAACCAAACAAAAAATCCCTTTGTCCAGACCCCTTAATATAAAACAGCTTTGCTTAATTTCTTATCTGTCATCAGTTCCATCTTTTCATAGATGGCTATTACAACAAGCATTCTCAAAACTGAACCATATTATATTATTATCATTATCATTATCATTTTTATTATTATTATAAATACTGTGGTTTTTTTCTTACAGGATAAGGTTTTAAATAAAGTAATCAGAAATAAATATGCGAGCTTATTCTTTATATATATGCATATACACATAATTTCATCAAATAATAACTTTTTGGAACTTCTATTAAAAAATACAATAAAGCTAAAAATCAGTCTGAAAAAAACCCTGTAATTTTTAGAGAATAATAAAGATATAGAAAATTTTTAGAAAATAATAAAGATATTGCCTATCCAAAGCTCTAGCAAAGAACAGTCTCAAAGACAAACACAACCTTTATTTTCACAGGCCATCCACTGTATGGGTCCTTTGTCATAATTATGTTGACCAACAGAAAATGTGAACACACGTACCTATGCAAGTTAAAAAACAATGCATATAACTTAATTAAAAAACAATGCATATAAGTTAACTATATGTCATTAATTAGCTGTGACTCTCAAGTTAATGATACTTGATTTTTCATACATTTGAACAGAAAAAGAAAACTGTGAATTTTCCATCTTTTATCGCCATAATAGATACACTGTTATTATGATATTTTGTGTATTCTTATTATTTGGTCCATGAAGTAGAACTCAGGAAGAATGTTCTTTTATACATCTTTCTTACTTTAAATCTTTTACATTGGTTACCGTCCATGAACCATTTAAATTTCTTTTTTTTTTTTTTTTTCCCTAGAGTGGTAATTATAACTCTTCAGGTTTTGTTAAATTAGTTCACATAATCTCCTATCAATATTAGATGCTCACAAATTAATTAAAATGAACATATGCATGGCAGTAGAATTCAAAGCAATGCAAAACAGGATTTATTAGGATATAAAATAATTTCAGGAAAAAAGATATGGAATTTTCAGATACTACAGAAAACAAACTCTCATTTTGCTCAGACTTTCAGTCTTTTTCATGTAAAACCACTAAATAAGTTCAACATAGTTCCATGAAAGGGTTAAACTTCTGATATTTCCTTTTAAGCTCTTGATATTCATTAAAGCTATATGTTTTACAAGCATAATTCTATTCTGTTTAGCCAATGCAACTCCAATCTATCTCAGCAACTGAGGGGAGTCATGGCTTCAGAAGAATTCACCAAATTCTATCCAAGTTTTGGACTGAAAACAGGCTTCTCAGCTGAAATTATTTTCCATGCAAATTGTCTGATTTGAATGAGAAAAATTAAAAACAAAACCCGGTATTGCTGTATACAAATTAAAAATCCTAAAAGACACATAGAAAAATTACAAATATTGTTTCAACTTCTGGGTGAATATTTTGCTCCACAGCTGGGCATTTCTGTAAAAGGTAGGAAAACTATTTTCCCAACAGTTTTAATAAGCTGTTCGCTGCTATCATGTCCCTCTGAAGGAATGTCCAAGGACCAGACTGCCTTTCCTTTTCAGGCATCTCTTTCTTTATGGACCTTTAACTTTACCACTTTGCTTTACAAATCACAGATCACAACATGAAATCAGAATATGGATTCCTTTCTATGGAACTTGATGACTATGTTTAAAACTAAAACATAATACAATTAATTTGCAGGCAGGCTATAACTGAGTAATAAGGTAATGTTTTCTTTAAATATTATTCACAATATAAGATTGCAGAGACTCCATGTAAACTACTGATCATTGCTAAGTTTTTAAATGATTATTCATACAAATTTTCATCACATTACTTAGCATGTGTGATTACTACCTAAACCTTCATTTGTCAAATAAGCAAAAAAAATTGTGTGACATAATCAGAGCTTATCTATTAACCAAGAGCTGTAGAAATAGCTCCAAATCATCAGTCAGCAGCTAGCAATTGATGAAACTTTACTAGTGTTGACCCCTATATGCAAGGAGGGCGAACAAAGCTTTGTGCTAGATATCATTTTTCATAGAATCATAGAATAGTTTGGGTTGGAAGGGACCTCTAAAGGTCATCTAGTCCACCCCCGCTGCCGTGGGCAGCAACATCTTCAACTAGATCAGGTTGCTCAGAGCCCCCTCCAACCTGACCT